AGTGAGACTTGACTGTTACACTTATAAAACACTTTCAGTTTCAAAGTGCCTAGCAACTGGTCGCGAATAATAAACCCTCTGATTCAAAGTCTGATCACGCTAACCACTAGGCCATGATTGGACATATTACTGATCAGAGTGTAATCAGTACTCCAATAACTTGTCTATACAATGTCCTTTATTACAGTTATCAGTAATAATTGGTATCCTAAGCGATGTAGTGGATTAGTTCAGGTAGTCTATTGTACACCGAGAGGTGAAAATCTTGCTAAAAACTGTCAAAAGCATTGACTATATTACATTGTTAAACATTCTTAATTACGTCAGCAAGAATGTCTTAAAATTTCCAATTCGGGTTGATATTTTTGGCACACAAGCCCCAAAACTGTTATATAAATTAGTTTGTTTATCGTTTGCAACTCTTGTTTTTTCTTTATTATTGAAAACAATTGACAATGTTGGTAATTTCTTAACTGCACGATATTTCATTAAGAATAATACCGGAAACATCAAGAGAGCATTTATGACTTGATTCTACTAATACTTTTAACGAAAGCTGTAAACATTCACAAGAATGTGTTGATAGGCAGTATTCTGAGACTGGAAACATCAAGAGAGCGTTTATGACTTTATTATATACACGTTTTAATGAAATGAAAGATGTAAACATTCACAAGAATATATTGATAGTAACTCGAAGGAATGGATTTGGAACTTTCAGCCTGAACGGTAACTTGTATGCAGATAAGCTAAACTAAACATTCAGATCAGAAACCCCTAGGATTCAGGTGTAGCCGTTCTAATTTTCAACCGCTGCCACAAGGATTTTGGGCGACTCCTGGAACTGAATAAATATTAATTTTAACCTCCGATACTAAACTCAATGTTAACCTCTTGACCAGGCTCGTCCAACTCGAAAACATCACATGTATGGCAAAATTATTTATCAGTTCGATAAGTGGTTTTAGTATTACAAAAACTGTTTTCGCTTATAGCATATAAACAATTGAATTTCGTAAATATTACACATATGTTCTGTGTACAGGAACAGTAGTTTCATCTAAAATACAATGCAAAAAACTGGTAGAGGGTACCGTATAAAAAACCAGGTAGAACATGTATCTCACAAATAACCTTGTATGTTAAGGTTAAAAATATATAGACAAATAAACTAAAACATACTAAAAAATAAAACACAGGATGTATAACATTACTGACAGCTTTATGGCGCTGTGTTTATGCAAATATGGTTTTGTGTAGCCGGTCCTCAATTTAAACAAACTTTTGTTTTTGTTTTATAGAGCAGAGCCATGTTGGGCTATATGCTGTGTCCACCGCGGGGAATCGAACCGTGGATTTTAGATTTGTAAGTCCGTAAATTTATCGCTGTTCCTTCGGGAGACAACCACAAAAACAAAAGAAATATGAGAAAATATGAAGTGCCTTTCAAACTGTAATGAAGGTTTATTCAGGTCCAGGCAGGCCATGTATATTTATTTACCTTGTTACTAATCACTCCACTTGCCACCAGGTTTATTACCTTGTTAACCTTAAGTACATGTGGAGCAGATAGACTTAACTTGTCACCCTTCAGTCCAAATGGATCAGGCAGGCTTACTTTGTTAACCTTCAGTCCAAACGAATCAGGCAGATTACCTTGTTAACCTTCAGTACACGTGGATTATATAAACTTACCTTGTTAGCCTTCAGCACACGTGGATTATATAAACGTACCTTGTCACCCTTCAGTCCAAACGGACTAGGCAGGCTTACCTTGCCAACTTTTAGTGCTCATGAATCAGGCAGCCTTACTTTATCACTTTATTCCAAACAGATCAGGCAGAGTTACATTGTCACCCTTCATTCCAACCAAATGAGACAGACTTACCTTGTTATCTACTCTTCAGTCCAAAAGGACTGAACCAGACCAGGCAGACTTACATTGTCGCTTTTCAGTCCACATGAAGCAGGTAAACTTACTTTATCACCCTTTAGTCCACGCGGACCAGGTAACCCAATGTCTCCACGTTCTCCCTTCTCTCCTTTGGTGGCAACTGTGGCTACGACAGGAGGATGAACTGTGACCACTCTTCCGGGCTCACCCTAAAAAATAAATAAAGTAAACATAAGTCTATGAATGAAACTTCAGCTCCTCTCTCTTGTCTTTATTATAATACATTTCCGACAAGGCAGGTGAACTTCAAACTCTCCGTGCTTCTCTGACCAGGAGTTCGTATAATTCTAGAATGCACAACACAAAAAAAGTGTTAAAACACCTTCAACACAGAATATAAAAGAGATGACAATAATCAGTTGCACTAAACTAAAAAAGGACACAGGACTGATCCATAAAAATTATCCACCAAACGCTGCGTATTGTTAATTATTTATTTTCAAATGGGTTAATTCGACAATTACTCAATAGATAGCGCTCGTTTTAATTCTATGTATATTATCCGGAAAGACATATAGAGAAATATTCTTAAAGCAGCTAACTCAAATCATATCAAAGTACGGTAGTACTTATAGTAGGAATGAGCAAGATATGCAATACAAATTAAAATCTCAAACACACCGCAAACAGCGTGTAAACAAAACTTTATAAGCACTTTACACAGAGGGCTGAGTAATAAGCAACCAATGGCAGAGTAACAAGCCACCAAAGCATTTGAGAAAGTCGGTAGAGTGAAAAGAAAATTTCCCAAAACCACAAATTTGTCAATATGGCTGATTGATTGACTAAAGTTGTTGGAAAGGCATAACTCTATCCTGCCTTCACCTTATTCAAACCTAAATGCGCATGACAGAATTACGCTATCTTGACTAAAAATGGTTTTGTTAGTTTTACTTATAACCTTGGTAATAATAAGTAATAACAATAATCATTTTGCAACACTACTAATGAGCGAAGAGTACAATAGTAGACATATTCTATGATTATGAGCACGATCTGTGAGTTTCCAAGTAACAACCCGTCCTAATATCACATGCGGGTGCACAATTGCTTATGTACGCGCTTTACGTAAACAGCCTGCAGCTGTATCAGCTAGATAAAACGTGGACTACGTAGATTCTCTATATCTAGGTTCGAGCTATGATCAAACTTTTAAAAGCGAATTTTTCAGTTCTATACATCCGACTCAATGGTTCTGTGTTAGACAAAGCAATTCTATCATAGCAGTCGCTGCTTAAGACATGAGTCTCGTACGAGAGAAAGAACGCTACCATTGCCGAACTCAGACACGGCTTTGCTCGATTGCTCTGGACTTAAGAACAAGAACGATAAGTTGTATAATCTACCTTTGCATTGTTTTCAAACTAAGTGTGACCGATTGACATCTAAGGTTGTACTTGAAAAGTGCGATTTTTTAAATATGCCTTTCTAGAAAACAAAACAAGAGAAAAGAAGAAAATCTATGTTGATAACCTTGAAAAGTCTTTGTACCAGCGAAAAGAACATTACTGCGAGAATATAAATAAGGTTAGAAACAGTAATACTGAATATGCGAAACAAGCCTCAGCCATTAATCCAGCCAAAGAAAAGGCTGCAACCCTGGCTAGATAGAAGAAAAAACTATAGCAAAGATATCAGCAAAAGCCAGGAAATGCCGAGAGAAGCTCTAAGAAAAGCTACGAGAAGGATAGGCCTAGAACTCAGTCATTCTCGATACATAGCACCAAGAAATGGTATGATAGAAATATAAAATTAAAAAATAAAAACATTAGAAAGTAAAAATGGCAGCACCAAAAAGTAAGGAAACAAGGTAGAAATGGGTAGGAAACTTAATAGCACTTGGTAGTTTTGACATGGTGCAACCTCACAGTGGGTGTGACCATCGTTCCACCTATTCCTGTGACCACTCACCTTCTGACCAGTTAGTCCATCTTGTCCAGTTTCTCCCTTTTGTCCTGGAGGCCCCAGTCGTCCAGTTTCTGTAATTTAGATTTACATCATGGTGAAAGTTAAATCATCTCACCATGTTTTCGCAGCTCATAGTGAAATATATTATTATGTTCTTTATTTTCCATTTATATACGAATCTTTGCATTTTTTTTTTTACTAAAGATTGTTGATACAAAATACTAGGTAGAAACTTTCCTATTAGATTTTCGTATACCGTAATAATTGTGTTAACTGGATATTGGTACGTTTTAGACATTTACAAAGATGTCTAAAAACATATACTGGATAACACTTTTAACGTGAACTTCTAAGATATGAACCCCATATCGGATCTCAACAGTTAAAAACCTGGAAAACGCCTAACAGTATTTATTGGCTGAAGTCACTAACACGTAACCACTGAGGCATATCCAATGATCAATATTTTACGTAATTAAACAATTCCAACGACTTTAATAATCATTATTTAATATTAATTTTTAAAAATGGTTGGACAGCTTATGCCACTAACAAAATCAAACCATTGAGATATAACCAATGTTTAATATTTGATGTCACTAACCAAATCAAAACACTGAGACATAGCTGACAGTCAACACCGGGTTTTGAATGTAGACATTAAAATTATTTTTGCTATAAAAATATCAACAAACATGTTCACTCTAATGTTTTTATTGCTTGTTTGTTTATGAATTTCGCGCAAAGCTACACGAGGGCTATCTGCGCTAGCCGTTCCTAATTTAGCAGTGTAAGACTAGAGGGAAGGCAGCTAGTCATCACCACCCACCGCCAACTCTTGGGCTACTCTTTTACCAACGAATAGTGGGATTGACCGTCACTTATAACGCCCCCACGGCTGAAAGGGCGAGCATGTTTGGTGTGAGAGGGATTCGAACCGCGACCCTCAGATTGCGAGTCGAGCGCCCCTAACTACCTGGCCATGCGGGGCAATGTTTTTTAAGGGGATCACAGAATACAGTAAAGTGCTCATTTTGAAAATATTGTAAATCAACTTTCAAACCCTATATTTATTTTTGTTCCGATGGAACTTTATTGGCTAACGATTAAACTTATTAGTTTTAAGTATACACATTTAGTACTTTTTTATAGAACATTGAAATTATAACAAAAATTACAAAAAACATACCTCCAATAGCTGGTTCTGGAGGTGGAGGGGTGATAAGAGGTGGAGGAGGATCTAAAATTATACATTAAGTTTCCGTTAGAAAAAGTAATGCTAAAAACAGAAAGGCTTTTAAGACATTTCACAGTATTCTATTTTACGTGAATTTATTGTTTTGTTCACTTTCGCGGTCTAGTTTCTTTAATTCAAATGTTAGTAAATCTGTTTAGAAAGAAGTAAATCGTTGTGGAATTTAACACGAATAAAACATTTAATTTAACATCAATTTGTCTTTCCAGTTAAACAGTAATGCTTAAATAAATCGTTTAACCCAACGTGAATAAATCTAAGAAAATCATTCAGTTTTTGATATTCCACTTGTGCAAGCCCCGATGGATTAGCGATAAGGTTTGTTTGTTTCCTTTGAATTTCGCGCAAAGCTACACGAGGGCTATCTGCGCTAGCCGTCCCTAATTTAGCAGTGTAAGACTAGAGGGAAGGCAACTAGTCATCACCACCCACCGCCAACTCTTGGGCTACTCTTTTTACCAACGTCACATTATAACGCCCCCTGCTGAAAGGGCGAGCATGTTTGGTGTGACGGGAAATCGAACCCTCGACCCACAAATTGCTAGTCGAGCGCCCTAACCACCTGGCGATAATGTTGAGGGCTTAGAATACTAAAATTCTGTGTTAGATCTTTATGGTGGACAAATTGCAGAGAGCTTATTGTGTAGATTTGCGCTTGAAAAATTAATTTGTCGATTTTTAGTTTTGCGAAAACGATATATAAGGAAATAATAAGAATAACTGGAATGTGAAATTAATGCCAAATCCTTCTTATTGTTGCTGTTCTATTTGTTTCATTTGATTAAAACAGTTTCAATAAAAAAATAGAAGTTACTAATGTTCTGTAAAGAACGATAGGAAAAGTGTAATATTACTAAAGTAAATCATAGCTTAAACATTTATTTAAGTGTTAATGTAAAACACGGATCTTAAAATTTCCTACTAAAAAAGTGGAGTTTCTCAAATGTTAATTTTATTGATACGAAAATCATTAAGTGTTCTGTAAAGATCGACGAGATAAATTCTGAGAGATCTATTTTGTTAAATTATATACTATTTCATATATATATATATATACTATATCTCAATTATATACTACTCACTGACGTATAACGGAAGTACTATGTACTACATACGGTTATTTTTCTATATTTTATTAGGGTTAGAAAAACACATTAAAATGCTTACGTAAGTGTCCAGTTCAGGTGGTAGCGTAGAGAAGAAAAAAGTATTATTACAAATATTTATCATCTCAATGGTATTCTTCATGAAATATTTAAATTATAAATGCACACACACAAAATACGAATGAGACTTCTAAAAATCCAATCACTTTGAACAATATAAATGAGTGTATTCTAATCGTATTACGTCACTGTGGGACATACTTTATTGTTTATTCACATTCAAAAACTGTAACTGAAGTATAGAACTGCTCGTGACTCGGTGCTGTTATATTCTATTCTGGTGCTCAGGTTCAACACTTATAACATGAAACAATGGATTAGTTAGTCTTCACTCAAAATTTCACTGTGCTATTCATATACAGTCTGTAATTCATAACACAACGCCTAATGCTCTTTTACATACAGTCTATAATTCACAACACAACGCTTTATGCTCTTTCATATGCAGTCTGTAATTGACAACACAAAGCTTTATGCTCTTTCATATGCAGCCTGTAATTCACAACACAAAGCTTTATGCTCTTTCATATGCAGTCTGTAATATATAACAAAAAGCTTAATGCTCAATAATTCTGGTCAAGCAGTTACAACTTTCGAATGGTTAAAATGTAAAATTGAGACTAAGAGTTTGTGTTTAGTTTTCTCCCAGCTGACAAATTTGACTGTAACATGATTAAACGCGGTATTTTTATCATAAGTGTTGCTTAATATTAACTTAATATACATGATCGGTTTTTCATAACATTGTACTTATTAATGCCTTAACCCAGACATATAGGTGTATTATAAGTGTAACTTCGTTCATGAATTAACCAAGAAGGTAGGTCAATCATGAATGCAGGATTATCCATGACTTTACCATAGGATTGGTCTAGCATGAATACTGGATTATTTTTTACTTAAACACAGGGTTATCCGAAACTTTTACCACAGCGCTGGTCTAATATGAATAGCGGATTATCCATGACTTAAATACAGGACTGGTCTACCTTGACTATCCATGACTTAATTAAAGGGTTGTTATAGCTCGAATTCAGGATTATTTGTGATTTAACCAAAAGGGTTGGTCTATCACAAGCGTGGATTAATTCTATATTATCAGAATTACCAAGAATCTTTAAAGTATGGACTAAATCTGTGGTGTATCAACATCTTTAATCGTTGTTTTTATCGCTACGTTTCACAGTTTTTGTTGTTGTTGAAAATATTAGATGTGTAGCTGTTATTCATTCAGAAGTTTTTAAAATTACAAACACATTGTGTAATAAAGATATGTGAAGTCACTCTGTTCACGTTACTGCTTCCAATGTTAATAACATTACCTTGATAAAAACTGCAACACAATTGGCGAACAATTTATAGTCAATGCAGCATTGTTTATACAATAATCTTACTACTATAACCAGTAAACAGGTTTGTTGCCTTAATAAATGTTCACACCCTCAACCTTGTAATAGAGTAAATATGATATAATTGTTATTTATGTGTACTATCAATGTGTTGTAGGAATGTGAAATTGTACTGTAGAAAATTTACGGTTTAGAAGCCGAAAGCTGGCGAAGCATTAGAAACCAATATCTTTATTCGTCTCTGATTTTGAATCAGAAATTGGGAAATTTGAAAACAAAAGAAAGAAAATCATGTGCAGTTAACGTGATTTTTCTCACACATTTTTAGGTCCACTGAAGAAAATGTATATATGCAAATTAAAATAGCAGGCATACAATTTGAGGAAAGTAATATAGAAGTACTTTGTTTGAATGAAATTGGCCTCGGTTTGGTAATTACCAAACTTTTTCGGATCTGTAATTACTCTTCAAGGCCAATAAAATTCAGTGATAACGGTTTTTTTCAGATTGAAAGTCTGTTTTCAATCTTTTGTATTGTACAAAGTTCTTGTGTTAAGACAACCGAATATGTGTCATTGCAGGTTAAGTTCAAAGTTTTATTAAAATATTAAAGAAATGACTAGCCTTGAGAGTCAGCTGCGCTTCCCTCTCCACTAGATAACGTAGCGTCTTCTTCTTCAAAATCAGACAGCTAAAAGGAATTGTCAAACAGAATTAACCATTTCTGTTGTGACACACAAGTTATTTCAAAACCTATAATATCACTTATTATTAATACAAAACAACATTTGACAAATGAAACCTACTTCTTGAATGTTTAATTCTTTCGTAAAACTGAAATTATAGCAAGAAAAATTAGGGATACGTGATAGAGGGGTTTCATGTTGCATTTGTATTTCAATTCCATTCAAAAGATTTCAAACGCTATATTTTCGTACTCAACTCTTGGTTATCAGCTGTTATCGACGGCTTATATTTTATTCCTTGTACATTGTCTAGTAAGAGCTAAAATACACAAAGTAAACTCACTTTTTATGTTTTATAATAATTTAATGATCGCACTCTAAAGTTAACATTTCTTAAAGGAAAGTTGAATGTTTACTTACACATTGCGCTCAATATTACAATAGGTCGTTTTCCTCTTGTAAACTAAAGAAGTGATTCAACTATTATACGTGTTATAAGACATTAGTATTAGGCCTATTATATTTTTAAACACTACTTTCTTTATCTAATCTCATGTGGATTTTGAGGAATTGGAAAAGTGTAAAAGAATAGTATTCCAACCAATTATATTTACCATATCCATTGCCGACAACGTTATATGTTATGCAAGTCTGACGTTAATTGAAATTTGTAACTGAGTGGAGTACTTTAAAAATGATTTCCCCACATCTCCGTGCTTCTCTTTTATATTTTATAGTTATCAAGACGAAATAATATATCTTCTCAGATTATGTTTTTCAGTTATGTATTTTACACATTTCACGTGTATTCTTTGGTTCCAGTTTCACTACATAATGTTGCTCTTAGGATAATTTCCGGGCAGCTCTTGGCTTATATAAGACAGTAAATTTGATTTCAATGGATCAATGAACAGAAGTGCAAAGTACAAAGTAAGCTGACTGGAAAACATGGAACAAAGAAAATGGTTGAACCTCACAGAAAGTGGACGTGTTTTCATTTCTCTTTAAGTAGCACAAGTAAAATCCAAATAACTTTTTTTTCCCTAATGTATTTCAGGAAGTTATCTGCCATTACTGAGAAAGCAGAATACTAAGAGACGTTGTGTGTTGCGTTCCCAGCCGACCCTGATGAGCTCTGATATTGAGCTTTGTGGGTAGTGGCGTGAGACGCACAAAGAGTTTATCCTTATTAGCAACCCGTTATAAAAATTCGTTACAAGTCTTATTACGATATAATATCACGCAAAGCACTTACCAACATACCACGCTTTGCCAGCATAAAGCGGTAAGTTACATAGGATAAAATACCTACAAAGAATGTGACTGTTTTTTTCTTCTTGTTATCAATTTTTCTGTACATAGTACACCACCAGACCGGTCAGCTCCAACCGAAAGGGACTAACTTACTACTAGCTGGTGAATGTCTGAATATCGCATGCAGCATTATTTATTCGAACAGCTCCACTTCATTACTATTACATGGATCTCTGGTACTTATAGCACTGACTGCAAATAACTAAGACACTAGACAGGTTTCTGGATTCTAGCCGTTGATAGTTAGTTCATCAGCTAGATTGAGTGTTTAAGATTAGAATTAATATTACTTACATAACATGCCTCAGAAATTATGTTAGTACAAATCAATTCCTGATTTTTTCCGATATTCTGATTAGTCCAAAACTGAGGTAAATTGAATAATCAACTGATAATAGACGAGAGTTATTGATCATCAGTTGTATAAGATCAAAAGAACGAATAGATGTGGTTCTAGAATCTTTAACGAAATTATTTATTGGACGCAATGTTTCGTGTTTCTGTTGTTGTAGTCAGAGGAGAACATCGCTGATTTGAATCAAGTACCCAGCTCGAAATTTGGTCTATGATATTTCAATATTATTATTAACGTATTTGTGTTTGTTATGTCAAAGCCCTTTACGTATTGAAGAACGACTGTTTAAATCTAAAAATCCTTTTCAGACAAATTTGCAAATAATGTTTGTTTGTTTGTAATTAAGCACAAAGCTACACTATGGGCTATATGTGCTCTGCCCAGCACGGGTATCGAAACTCGGATTCTAGCATTGTAAGTCCGCAGACATACAATGTGCCACTGGGGGCTGCAAATAATGAAAATGTACCTATAAAGTAGTTCCAACCTTGAAACAGAAATGTAAAAAAAGACACAAGAATAAAATCTAGTTTATATTTCTAGAATACATTGGTACAACAACTTATTAACTTAAATTATTAAATTATTGTTATTTAATTTCTGTAATGTAATCTTGATGAATCACAAAAAAGTCATAAGTTTCTGAATGATGTGAAAAAATACGGTAAACAAAAAAGAGCACATCTTCAATATATTCATGCAAATAGTTAAAAATACTTACTTCTTCAAAATCTTCAAAATATATGTCTCCACGCCTAAAGAAACCACCACTTCCTGAATCCTGAAATAACAAGGATGAAATCAATGTGAACTTGTTATAGTCAAAGTCTGTACGGTAAAGAACCAGGATAACCTTCACTGTATTATACACTAAAATAAAACTGCTGTTATATAATCTTTCTGGTCATCAGATGTTTAAATATATACCTAGTCTAAAAGAAATAGAATAATTGATAAAAGTAATTAGACAAAACGCCGAGTTACACATCTTTAAAATAGGGAATGAACTTAGCTAAAGCTTATATATATTATTATTATCATATTGAACGATTTAAAGGTATTACCTTGTTTACAACACGAAGTTAAAACCAATTAGAACATCATATCACGTGTATATGCTAAAACAGAGGCCACAAGTTAAGTACACTATGCTCAAAGCACACCATTAAGATCCTGCTTTGGGCGATTATAACAAGCACGTGTAAAAAAGTCAACCGTAATCCGGTTTCGTTACTTTGACGACGAGTAAATTTAACACCGTAATTATCACTGAAATAGCTCAAGACTTAAGCGATTTTAACAACACATGATTATTAATTTAAGCATTATAGTAATAGCAGTAAAAACACAAATTTATGAATTTTATAACTACCGATCCTGCTTTTACGTTAACCAGATATATTCTACTATAATTTGAGAGAAGTTTCTTTGTCTTCTAACTCAACTTATGCTTAATTTTACATTCGAACCTGTTAAATAATATGGTTTAATCAGCTGGGTATGGTTCGAAATGTGTCAAGAAGTTAGTTACTTTTAAAATGCATAGATTTCATAGTTCCAGGGATGGCTAAATAAAGATCAACCAGTGGAATTAGCCACTAGGGGTAGTGATGGGATTTATCCAGTTTCCTCTTTCATTACATGGGTATACATATAGTCTGTGTACTTTCAATCATTACTGACATATTTAGGACACAAACAGAAACACTGTCTATATTCATAACTGGTAACACAATAATTTTACAATTGTATTTCGTTTTCAAATCCCATCAATCATTTGACGAATTTAATTTTCTCACGTTGTTTATACATACGTATTAAGTGAGATGTTTTTATGTCCCATGTTACTTATTTCTTTTCAATTAAAAACTAAAATGTAAAATAAAATGGTATGTAAATAATCAAGCCCAGTGGACATGAATAATTATATTATTATGCATTTTCAATCTTTATATTGCCACAGGCATATATTTCGAAAAAATAAACAAACATTTTTAATATTTGTAATTGTTAAAAAATTTGTTTTTAAATCTCCTCAGTTCATTGGTATAAACATATAAACACTTCCTAACAATTATTTCAATATTCATTGATATAAACATATAAACATTTCACAATAAATATTTTAATAATCAACGATATAAACATATTGCTACGACAGCTGAAGTCACGTGACGCTGATGACACGTGATGAATTTCTCGAATGATCATGAATGATCGGGGAGGCCCCAGTATATTCGGGACGCCCCCTTCTTTAGTATATAAGCCTGGCAGTGAAAGCCTGCGGGAATGATTGAATGAAGAGAGTTCCGGGTAATTCACGATTCCGTTTCGAGCTAGTGTGTGTTTTGTTATCGAGATTGTGAATCGTAGTGATTTATAGCGTGTATTATAAAAGTAGTTAAGCGTAAAATGACGTACTGATTGTGAAATTACTGTGTATT